AAAACAGACCACAAACTCGGCCACAAAGCCTGCTTAAATAAATATAAAAGAGTCAAAATCTCCCCGTGTTTACTATCAGATCATTGTGCGATGAAACTAGAAGTCAATCACAGAAGAAACCACAGAATATTTAGAAACACTTGGAAACTTAATAACACACTCCTGAGTACCCAATAAGTCACAGAAGAAATCAATGAAAAAATTAAACAATTTCTGGAAGCAACAATGTCAGTACGACACACCAGAACCTATGGGACACAATGAGAACAGCCCTAAAAGGGAAGCTCATTGTAATCAATGCTCCCACTAGAAAAACAGTGAGCTCAAATAAATAACCCAGTGAGAAACCCTAAGACACTTGAAAAACAACAAAAATCCAAGCTCAGGATGTCCTTGCTGACTGAGTGATCTTCCACAAAAGCCCACTGGAACCAAATATTTCCTTAGAACTATAAATAGTGTGGTTGAGTTATCAACAAAGGTGAGGCATTAGAATTACTAATAATTAGAATTAGAATCACCATCACCTGCCTGGGAAATTCCAAATTTCCTTGAGGGAAAAAGAAAACCAAAACTTCTTTGATCACTTACTTCAGATGATCTAAGGAAAGCGGGGGAAAAAAACCCCACACATCAAATTCTGTTACTTGAAAGTTAAACAGGATCTTTGAAAAATAAATAGTTTTGCTGGGCGTGGTGGTGCACGCCTGTAATCCCAGCACTCTGGAAACTGAGGCAGGAGGATCATTGTGAGTTCGAGGCCAGCCTGGGCTACAAAGTAAACTCAAGGCCAGCCTGAACTGCATAGCAAGACCCTGTCTCAAAAAGACCAAAAAAAAAAACCTTGTTTTTAGGTGTTCATCCAATTGGGCTGATTGTCCTTAGATTATTAGATGTTCTCCCAATCAGGTGAAAGGTCAAGCAACTCTAATCTGAAAATATGAAATTTGAACAGTGCCAAACCTTGACACTTTTTGAATGCTGCTATGAAGCACTGGGCAGCCTGAGGTCACCCAGGACACTCACAGCACTCAGCGACAGGGACAGAGCCTGCAGGATGTCCAGCACGGTCTTCAGTACAGTCCCACTCCGGAGCAAGTAGGGAGGCAGGCACCTCCATCCCCTTCCCCTGCACCGGCACAAGCTACGCCTGCTGATGGCTGCTGAACATGGCCTGTTAGGATGAATTGTACCTGTTCTCTGGACTGCTTCTCTCCCGCATTATTCCCTTTGGGGAAAGAGAAGGAGGGGGAGGGGTTGGGGAAGGAGGATTGGGCAAGGGTAGGAGAGTGAACAGGGATGGAATGAGTGGGGAGGGGAGGGGGGATGGTCAACCAAGGCTTGATTGGGAGGGGACACATGGGGCAGTGGGGTTAGGATGGAGGCTGAAGGGCGGAGACAAGGGGTGGAGTGGGGCACAGGTTAGGGTGGGGGCAGGCTGAGCTCCAGGGATGGGGAGAGGGAAGGGAAGCAGTGAGACAGGTGAGGTGCTGTGGGTGGAGAGAGGAGGGTGAAGGAGGAGCCTGGTGTGTGGCAGGCGACACAATCCTGACTTAGAGGCCAGCAGAGGAATGGGAGATGGCAGAACCCCAGGGCCCTTATCCTCTGGGGAATGAAAACCTTGATTTGTGCTTTCTCCTAAGAAGGCAATGACTGAAAACCTTTTAAACTAAAAACAGCAACTCTTCACTTGGGTCCGCAGATGTCTAAATGGTCACTAAGAGAACAAGGCTTGATCATCATTTTGGATCTTTGTTCCTATAAAGCTTAGGTCAAATCCCTTCTGGTCTCTGCGTGCAGGTGTGTTATCAGGGAGCATGTCCCTTTTGGGATGGGGAGGCAGAGTCAGGATTCTGAAGAATCGAGGAGGATCCTTCCCTGGGGAAATGTTCGTACTTTATTTTTTCCACCTTTGTTGAGGTATATGTGTCCTTAACTACAGTCACCATCAGCTCACAGAATAACTGAGTAATTTGTAATCAACAGAAATTTATCTTTCTACAGTTCTAGAGCTTGGGAGGTCTGAAATCTATGTCCCAGCAAGGTAGGTCTTGCCCACTGGCCTTGCCCACTCTCACTCTGAGGCCTCTTCTTTTAGTTTATGTGTGATTACCATCTCTCTGTGTGTTCACATACTTTTTTTTTTTTTTTGGTTCAGATGTATGGAGAGAGAGAGAATGAGCTGTTTGGTGTCACTATTTTTTGGTACTGGGAACTGAACCCAGGGGTGCTCTACTACTGAGCTACATCCTCAGTCCTTTTTATTTTTTATTTTGCAACATCATCTCACTAAGTTACCCAGGTGGGATTTGAATTTGCAGTTCTCCTGCCTCAGCCTCCTTCAGTGCTCAGATTACAGGTGTGCACAACCCCTTTTTATACAAGAACATCAATTCTACGGGATCATAGTTTCACTTTTATGACCACATTTAACCTTAATTATTTCCTTTAAGGCCCTATCTCCAAATGTGGTTACATTAGAGATTAGGGCTTCAACATATGAATTTGGCGGGGTGAGGGGGGAGAGATAGAAACATTCAATAACATACTATAGGTTTTTTTTTCCTTGATCTTTTGGAAAAGCAAGAGTCATCCTGTACTGAATTACAAGGATGACGAGAGACTGTTAAAACTTCCACTGAGGGAAGAAATGGAGGGGGATGCACTTGACAGAGTCTGCTCTGCCATGTGCCCAGGACAGGCTGGGGAGAGGTCGAGTCTGGGCTGACCTGTGGGGTGAAAGGACGGAGAACTCCAGAGGAAAAGGTTTGTTCTGTGACCTCCTAAAATAACCTGAAGGCATAACCTCTCAAATTAGCCATGCTGGGGAGAAAAGTCATAGAGCCCTTACCAATTAAGGGAAGCTTTTTGATTTTCTATCCTGAATTATTCAAGGATGCTGTGCATTTTTATGCTGTCTCAGTTCCTTTCAGGTGAAGACATGGGTGCTAGAAAGGGCAAACCTGGCCCAAGAGAAAGTGGTCCAACCAGGAAGGAAATTTGGTCTGTGGAGTCCTGATGGGGTGTGGGCTCCTCGTCCCCAGTGTGGGACTCTGGCTGGCTGCACTCTGCTGGCACCTGCTACACAACGGGGTCCTGACTCAGAGGCACACACCTGACACAGCCTCTGCAGGCCCATCTGCACCAGGATTACGTATACAGCAAGTCATCAGTGGCTGGTCTACATTCCCAGGGCTGAGTGTCCTGACAGGTGAAACCACCCTTTTTGAAAAATCTTTTGGAGTAGCCATAAATGGGTTAAACCTTGGAATCTTCCTGCCTCAGCCTCCCAGAATGCTGGGATTACAGTGCACCACCACATCCAGCCAATCCTACTCTTTCAATATCCCATCCCTCAGATGACGTAGTTCACAGTCACTGTTCTACCCCAAATGAGTCAGTGAGTGACTGCCATCCCAAAGCCAAATCTTGCACCTTCACGCATTTGTCCTTGAATTTGGTCTTTACAAATGGTTCCTCTATGCCTCCAAGCAACTATCTTTGTGAGACCAGATTTTCTTTATATATCTCAGCCAGGACAACATATTGCAACAGACAGAATGCAGAAGCAGATTCAAGAGAGGAAATAATTGCCTTGTGTTAAGCCAGACATTAGATTTGTAGACATTTAAAATACTGTTTCACTCATTTTTAGTCTTTGAAAACATAAAGATACATATTTACATGTAAATACTTTTATAGTATTATGTAGTGTAATGCATATTTTAAACATTGTTCAGTTTTAATTAATTTGGTGAATATTGTGGTATATTATCTACATAAAGGCTTTTAGGGATCAATAACTTCTCAAAGTATGAAAGAATCCTGAGACAAAAATTGAGAGTTGCTGAGCTAAGATATTTACACAGAAGGAAGCAGATATTTTGCCCAAGTGGTGAGATTTTAGATAATAATCCTTTTCTCTATTTTTTTTTTTTTTTACCCCTCAGTTACTGAGGTTGAGCCCAGGGCCTTTGCACTGAGCTACATCCTCAGCCTTTTTATTTTGAAACAGGGTCTCACTAAGTCGCTATGTTGCCTAGGGTGGGCTCGAATTTGCGATCCTCCTGCCTCAGTCCCTGATAAAATCTTTACGAAAGACGGCCCACCCGGTGTCTGCGGGCGCCCCCTGCTGCCCTTTGTGACGCCGGCAGCAGTTCGGTTCCCTGCTCTGTGCCGGGGTCTGGGCATAGCGCTGGGAGCGATGGCCGAGGCGCAGGAGCAGCGGCTGCAGCTGCAGAAGGACAACCGCGACGGCCGCCTGCGGAAGCAGGAGCTGGAGGAGCTGGTGCGCGGGCTGGAGGCCGAGAGCGAGAGCCTCGCCGGGCGTCTGCACGAACTGCGCGAGCGTGAGCGCAGGTGCGCGGGGAGCAGCGGAGCGGTAGGGCTTTCGGACGGCGACCGAAGACGGTGGGCCGAGTCGCCCGGCCCGCACGCCCGCGGACGATCCACTCAGCGGGCCCGGGAAGGGAGGGCGGCGCCTGACACATCCCGGACCGGGCAAGTTCTTCGGCTCCAACCCCGGCCGGCGCTGGTGCTTCCCGGGGGCGACAGCAGCAGCAGGATCCAGAGCGCCCCGCACCCTCGCCGTATCACCGGCCCAAGTTTCCCTCCACAGCCTGCAGCGGAGGCGAAGCCAGGCGGCACCGGCCCCACGAGGGGAGGCGCGCGAAGCGGCCCGGGAGCGCGCGGAGAGGACGCAGAGACTGCTGGAGGCTGCGGAACGCCGCAAATTGGAGCTGGTGAGGGGCGGGGCCTGGGTGAGGGCCCGGTGGGAGGGGCGGGGCTTGGGAAGGGTGGGGCCAGCGGAGAGCCGGGGACCGCTCCCTCGCTCCTGTCCGCAGGAGCAACGCAACAAGCAACTTCAGGAACAGTGGGAGGAGCTGTCAAGTCAGGTACTGCAAGCTTGGGACGGCCTCTCTCCGGGTTTCTCTCGGAGGCCCCCGCTCTGGTCCCTGTCCCCCAAGCCCCTCCTTAAGAACCCAGCAAGCCCCGCCCTCACAAGCCTCTCCCCCAGCTCTTTTACTACGGCGGGGACCAGCTGAGTCAGCAGCGCGCAGAGCAGCACGTGGGGACCCACCTGGTGGAGCTGCAGGTGCTTGGGCGGGGCCTGAGGGCTGGCCC